AAAGAAAAAACAGTGTCTAGATTGTTCTCTGTTTTCAGGGAAACATCACCAGAAACAAAAATGTTAGATTTTTTTTTTAATTTATTAAATTCTTCGGCTCTTGCTAACTTTAAATTTTTTCCTGCTTGTCATTGATGGGGGTACAGCACCCCCTAATTTCTAATTAGTTCACAACTTCTGCACATAGTTCTTCTAAATCACTGCAACTCTAGCCAGACCGAGTGGCATGTCTTAACTACAAAACAGTGTTCCAAAACTAAACTGTTTAATTCTGAGGCCTTCACTCTCCTCATTTCCTAAGTCCATGCTTAATATAAGTATGTCTTAGAAGAAATAAATCCTGACAAAATGAATAAGTCTGTAATGGCAAGGATTCTGTGAGATACCGTTGATGAGAATGACACAGAAATAGGTATTTTTATATCATGGCTGGTTTTTTTTTGTTTTGTGTTTTTCCTTTTTCAGTAGGTGCTTCTACCAAGGCTGTGTTTGCTGGGTCAGCAAACAGCCCTAGTCATGAGTTCCCTGAAGGTCAGGGATATCTGCTAGAATAATTTCTTTATTTTTTTTATCAGATGTGTGATAGAGATCAACCTGCTTTTCCTTTTATTATCATCATTGCAATCTTTCCAAAATGGAACAAGGATGATGATGAAAACCAGGGTCACTGAAAAAGCAGTGCTGGGCTGTTCAAGATAATCCTCTCTGTCCTGCTGTTGAGTAATTTTTCACCTTTCCTCCTAAAACAGCTTTCCGTCTCTTCCATGTCTGGGCCAATTCTAACCCTGTGAGAGGGGATGTGGTGCTTTTGTGCAGTATCTGAGAGTAAATGAAAATCTGTGCTCCTGACCATCTAAAGAACCTGAAGGTGCACAAGTCCATGGGACCTGATGAGATATATCCGCAGGTCCAGAAGGAACTGGCAGATGAAGTTGCCAAGCATATGTATCCATCATATATCCATCAGCTATCCATCATATTTGAGAAGTCGTGGCACTCTGGTGAAGTTCCCACAGACTGGAAAAGGGAAATAAGGAAGACCTGGGAAACTACAGGCCGGTCAGTCTCACCTCTGTGCCTGGCAAGATCATGGAGCAAATCCTCCTGGAATCTATGTTAAGGCACATGGAAAACAAGCAGGTGGTTGGTGACAACCAGCATGGCTTTGCTGAGGTAAAATCGTGCCTGATAAATTTGGTGGCCTTCTATGACACAGGGCCACAGTGCTGGTGGATAAAGGAAGGGCAACTGACATCATCTACCTGGACTTGTGCAAAGCCTTTGACACAGTCCCACGTGACATCCTTGTCTCTAAGTTGGAGGGACATGGATTTGACAGAAGGACCACTCGCTGGATAAGGAATTGGCTAGACAGCCGCACTCAAAGAGTTGTGGTCAATGGCTTAATGTCCAAGTGGAGACCGGTGACAAGTGGTGTTCCGCAGGGGTCGGTACTGGGACCAGTGTTGTTTAACATCTTCGTTGGAGACATGGACAGTGGGATCGAGTGCACCCTCAACGACTTAGCCAATGACACCAAGCTGTGCGGCGCGGTCAACATACTGGAGGGAAGGGATGCCATCCAGAGGGACCTTGTTGTTCAGCCTGGAGAAGAGAAGGCTCTGAGGAGACTTAATAGCAGCCTTCCAGTACCTGCAGGGGGCTACAGGAGAGATGGGGAGGCACTCTGTATCAGGGAGTGTAGTGAGAGGATGAGGGGTAATAGGTATAAGCTGAAAGAGGGTAGATTTAGACTAGACATTAGGAAGAAATTTTTCACTGTGAGGGTGGTGAGACACTGGAACAGGTTGCCCAGAGAAGCTGTGGATGCCCCATCCCTGGAGGTGTTCAAGGCCAGGCTGGATGAGGCTTTGAGCAACCTGGTCTAGTGGGAGGTGTCCCTGCCCACGGGCAGGGGGGTTGGAACTTGAAGATTTTTAAGGTCTTTTCCAACCTTAGCCATTCTATGATACGTGCTGATATCATGTTTTTTTCAGAGTCGTTAGTTATCTGTAACTTAGACAGATAAGGCCTAACTGCTCAGCTTGTCCAATATCATGTTTTTTTCAGAGTCATTAGTTATCTGTAACTTAGGCAGATAAGGCCTAACTGCTCAGCTTGTCCAGTTCCTCATTTGTCTGAAATACTAGGGCAGGCAAGCCTCAGCTCTGGTCAAAAGGACTGGAAGGTGCTATTCTGCACTTTGAGAGGAAACACTGGTGGTTATTTTATGTAGTACAGTTTGGGTATGTTTTTTGTCTGTTTTTTCAGGAGCTGGGAGAATAATCATATCTTGTGATTTTAATCTGGGCAGTGGGAATCCTGTGTACTTGTCCACTCCTCTTGTATCAGCACCTATTTTTCTGACGTGTAAATCTCGGTTTTCAAATCTTATCCTTGCTTCCAAAAGAAGGATTGTTATGGAGAGAAAATGGAATGTTAGAGGTTCCCAGTCCTTTCTTGATAACTTTAACTATCAGCAAAAGCAAGATCGCCTGCCTTTGTCTGTGTCTTTTGTCTCTGCCCTGAAATGAAGAAAACAGTCTTTAATTGTTAGCTAAAATGAGGGTCACCTTTTTTCTTCACTCTTGTGTAAAGATTTCTTTGTCAGAACGGATTTCAGTGAGAAGCAGATTTCATACAGAAAGAGGACTGCCCCTCTCTGTTGTGTGGGGTGATGGATCTGCGTGTAGCTATCTTGCTTTGTAACTGTGTGCTTTGCTGGGGGTGTAAAGGGAGCAAGAAGAGTTCTTGGACTGCTGGCTTGGGTTCCCTAAGTGGTATTAGATGGTATTAGAGGGAGACAGAAAAACAGAGCAGACACTGAGGATGGAGTAATTCTATAAAAGAGAGATGAGTAAGCACACTAACAGCTACTGAGACAGGCCTTGACCCAGCATGTGTGGTGCAGGCCCTTCGCACCAGCGGATGCTTATGCCACATTCAGAGGCTGGCTGCATTAAAGGGAAGCTTGGGGCCTGTGTGTGTATGTTTGTGGTCACATATGTGTATGCAAATGCAGACACCCTTGCTCAAAAAAGTGAAGAGGGCTCCAATTCTGGAAGAAAGTGGTGAGATTAAAGACTGATTTGTATTCCTCAGTATTTTATGGTCTAACCATGGGAGATGTTTATTGATACTGGTTAGTGTTGGAAATAAGCATAAGGCAGATACACACAGCAAGATCAAAATAGACGAAAAAGAGGCGTCCTTGTGTGTCTGTGTGCACAGGGGAAATGGCACATGTCTCTAACACTGTTGTATGGGCCAGTGAAAGTGAAAAGGAAGCGTATCAAAGGAAAAGGAGAAACAAAAGAGGAGGAGGAAGAACCCCATCAGACTGAGCGTGAGAACTGAGGACTCTTGTCACTGCATGTGAGCAAGCTCCTAGGACTCCAGTGTGAGCTCCCCGTGTGGTACTGTGTAGTCAGCATAGCAAAAGCCAGCTGCTGTTCCTCCTCCACCACTACCACCTTCCTGCCCACCCATCACGCCATCAGTGTGGTGGCATAAGCAAGTGGATGAACTCTCCTCTTGTACTTACAAGAAACCCATAAAGGTTCTGTGCCCCCAGTCTGAGGTGGGCAAAGCTGCATTTGTCCTTCAAACATGCCCCTCTTTGACAATGTTTCTTCTTCATAGGCTTGGGCTTGTTTTCCTGACAACACTGTGAAACCGCTAGGAAGCAGGACTATCAGAAAGCTGCACAGAGCAATAAAGTGTTCAGTCTAGATAGCAGCAGCTTTGTATTTGTTCCTCAAAGTGACATTTTCCCTGTCCCGTCCCTGTGCTCCAAACAGCTCTGAGGAGGGGCTGGTCAATGAAGCTGTGAAGAGGGGTTTTATTATTGTGGCTGGAAAGACAGCTCACGCTGGTATTAAAGGAGAGATCTCCGAAAACTGGAGCATAGTCAATCTCATTCCCTTACTTCAAATAAGCAGGATAGAGCAAACACAAAAAGTTGTTTTGTTGTGTAAAGGGGACAGTTCTCCACTTATGAAAGGAATACTGTGTTGCAGGTGCAAGTGACAGCAGAGTCTTGGATGACCCGAGAGGCCCTTCTAATCTGTTGTCATGCCAGAAACCATGTGTG